GGTGGTGCGGGTAGGTGGGTGGGGATGAAGGTGCCAGTTACCAAGAAAATGTATATCTATATAGATAAACTTTTTAAACGAGCCAAAGTGATATGAAGTCATTTACACAACTATGAAAGTGTTGTGCTATGTTTAGTGTTAAGTTATAAAAAGATAAGCAATACAAGAGAAATACATGACATGGCAATAACATTGCACCACTACTGTGCCTGGTTGCCCAGAGTACACTGTTAGACATAAAGGTATTTGCAGATATATTTTTCATTCATCAAGGTACAAACAATATAAATGTACCCTCAAAGGTACAACACTGATTTTAAGGTCCAATTGTGTACAACCCAATTTCCAAAACAAAATGCAATGATGTGCAAATCATTTAAACCCTATATTTCATTGAAAGTACTACAAAGACAATATATCAATGCTAAAACTGAGAAATTGTATTGTTTTTGAAAAATATCTACCCATTTTGAATTTGATGCCAGCAACACATTCCAAAAAAGTTGGGATGGGGCCATGTTTACCACTGTGTTTCATCACCTTTTCTTTTAACAATACTCTGTAAGCTTTTGGGAACTGAGGAGACCAACTGCTACAGTTCGGGGTCTCAGTTTAGCACCCAGACTCTTTTAATATGGAGCTGTGCTGTTGTAATACATGCAGAATGTGGTTTGACATTGTCTTGCTGAAATAATCAAGGCCTTCCCTGAAAAAAACATCACCTGGATGGCACCATGTGTTGCCATAACATGTATATATCGTTCAGCATAAATGGTGCCTTTACAACTGTGCATGTCACCCATGCCATGTGCACTAATGCACCCTTATACCATCATGAATACTGGCTTTTGAACTGTGTGCTGATAACAACCCGAGTTGTCTTTAGCCCAGAGGACACAGTGTCCATGATTTCCAAAAAAAAAAAAATCAAATGTTGATTCGTCAGACCACAGGACACTTTTCCACTTCCCATCAGTCCATTTTAAATGAGCTTGGGCCCAGAGAAGGTGGCAGCATTTCTGGATCCTGTTCATATATGATTTCGTCTTTGCGTTTTAGAGTTTTAACTTGCATTTGTGGATGCAGCGACAAACTGTTTTCACAGACAGTGATTTTCAGAGATGTTTCTGAGCCCATGCAGTGATTTCCACTAGAGAATCTGGAGGGTTTTTGGCCTTGTCCCTTGCATACAGAGATTTCTCCAGATTCTCAGAATCTTTTAGGAATATTAGTAGAAGTAAAATGTCTTTATAGTCCAGCAGTAGTGATACTGAGAAGGGCAAAAGCAGTACTCTAGAAAGTCTGTACTGTTTGTTCAGGACGCCAATATTTTATACTTTACAGATTCTCTGCAATCTCGTTACTACTATTCATCAGATGTTTTCTGTAATTTGAGATGTTCATGGGCGCATTAAATCAGAAAACTCTACAGCTTTGATGATGGCCACTGATGCAAAAAAAAAAAAATAGCTGATTAGCTGTGCTACCTAATCACCATTCAAATTTTAGGCTGCACATAGCTGGTCCATCTTAAAATTCATAAACCAAAAACATTTGAGTTGCACAAAAATGCAAATGTAGTATAAAAGGAAATCATTTAATGCAAAATCAAATATTTCTATACAGTTATCATTTCTTCACAGTTATCACAGGGAGGACACAGCCAACTCAGAGATAGACAAGACTGCCTCTGCAACTAAGGTTATGGTTTTGACAAACTTAGGGAGAGGACTCTCTGAAACTATGTAAGAAGAAAAGGTTTTTTTTGGTCATTATTTAATGACCAAATTTAAATATTAATCTAAAATAAAAAAGCCATTTGAGCTTACAGGGATTTTCTCATGGTTAAGGCACAATGCAAAGCTGAGTAAAATCACTACAATGCATGACCTTTGGGGTCTTATTGCTTTGATAAAGCAAAAATCATCATGAAATCATTACATTTTTTAATAATTATAATTACAAGTGTGTTAAAACACAGTGAGGGGAAACAAGTATTTAGACACTGTTGTTGTTGTTGTTGTTGTTTAATGTACTTTCAGTCCATTTCAAATTTACACACAAACTCACCCTTATTCATCACTGTCCCTGAGAAGCTCCTTCAGCCTCACCATGATTTCTAGAACTAACTGCCACAAATTTTATAATGACACAATGAGTGCAATTTGTATAAGGACATTTTTTACAGCATTTATATCTAAAACTTTTCATATTTATTTATACATACAGTATATATTTTTACATTAGAGGTGGATAGTAACATATTAAATTTACTCTCGTTACTGTACACTTTTATCTGTAATGGTTCTTTCTATCTATCTTAAAAATAGATTTTATCTGTGAATAAACTTTGCTAATAGAGTGAACCTGCGACTTAAAACTGCAGTCTTCTCCGTGGACATTGGATGGTGATGTAAAACTGATAAAAAAAGGACTTGGCGAGTATACAAAACTTTTCCCAAACCTTTTCCAAACACAAAACAAAACATATTGAGATAAAATTCAAAATATTACATGCACAAAGGTTGAATTGGATGTGTAAAGTTTATATTTCTTTGTTTAAAAGATAGCATATGTTATAATTACAAGTTCTTTGTGATCTTTATGGACGTCGAGCCAACTAATTAAAACCAGAGATGCTGTAGTATGTGTAGTAAATCAGCCATTTTGAATGTGTGTAGACATTATGCAAAGAGCTATTTTGTGTGTTTGTTGGTTATATAGAAGTAGAACTGTTACTAGAATTGTGGCAAATGATGTAAATGTTGATATTCAGAAATTATGTTTAACATGAAATAAGTAACATGAGTGAGCTGACTGTGGATTCATTGAGTTTCATTGAGAGAACTGTTTTAAAGTTAAACTGATACAGTTGGACAGACTTTGGTTAAAGAAACTGCTTTTAAGAAAGAGTCTACTCAGTTGGATTTAAACTGAACTTTTTTCCTCTGGGGGACTGGCAAGCTGACAACCATGCATGTTTTGCATGTAAAGAAAAAACTTGCTGCAACTCTTTCTTCTGTCTCAAGCATCCTTCTTGCTCCAGGGACAGCACATGGTGTGCTACACTTACATTAAAAGTAAACAATTCTTTGCCTTTTCCTGTAAAGCTGCCATTTGATTCATGTTTTTATGGGGGCAGCAGTGATTTGTTGAAATTTCATTCGCATCATTTTAACATTCTTGTGCTAAATTATTAATCATTAAGGGGGCAAGTGTTCCACCACCAACAGGGCTTTATAATAGTACAGTAACAATTCAGAAGTTGTTAGGTGGCCACCTGGTGGCCGCAGAGCCCTAAGCAGCAGCTTATGTGGCTTAATGGGCAGAGCCGGTGCTGCCTTCATTCACTGTTTAATTGACAGCTGTCTTGTGTCTTTTGTTGCAACATTGTTCAAAACTTTAACCGCATTTCACCCTGAGGATCAACCATGGAAGTCTTTATAAATGCTCAGCCAAATTATTATTAGAAAATCAGTTGAGCTTCACATCCATTTTAACGTTTAAGAAACATTGTAACCTGAACGAGTATCACCGTTTCTATGGAATTATCTCTCCAGTTTTCATAGGTCAGTTCATTCTGAGTGACTCAATCAGCAAATAAAGGGTTGGGATATGTCTGATCAGTTTGAATGGTTAACACTGCCAGCAGGAGTCTTGGTTAGTCTGAGTCCTTGTGGTTCCATCAGGGCCAGACTGGGACTGAGTTACGTGATGCACACCAGCCTACTCCAACCTACAACTGTATTTTCTCTGTTGAGAATGTAACTGACCCTGTCCATGATGGCTGAACAGATTGGCTGGGCAGATTAGTTTTATTTTAGAATTAAAAAAGATTATTATTATTATTATTATTATTATTATTATCATCATTATTATTAGTAGTAGTAGTGTTGTTGTTTTGTTGTTGTTGTAGTTAATTGGACTGACACTGACGTCTTATTCATTGACAGACATTCGTAATTGATATGTGGCACTGGTGGCTGGTTCACTTAGTGTAACAGGGTCGCTTTCAGATGATAAAGCCTGATGGACATTGTGGAACGCTGTTTCCAGGTGAGCTAGAGTGTTGTGTGTAAACTGGGAATGGGAAAATTGGGCTGACAGTAACTGGAGCCTGTTTCCAACCTCAACAAGTTGTTGTTGTTGTAGGGCAGTGGTTCCTGACCCCCACTGACATTAAACTTCCTGCTGCATACTCCCTCTCCCTGGTTACACACACATGTTACTAGCATGCTTCTGCCTTATTGTAATGTTATATTATTGCATTACATGTAGGGGTCACTCTGGAGTTCTTGGCAAATAACTGAACTTTTATTATTTGTAATCACTAAAGCAGCAGCATTCATATGAGGGCACGTGTTCAATATGATGTTCAATAGTAAAAGAGCAATATATTTAATAGTATTAGTGCATGTTTGCTATGTGTTACATACTGTTTGTGTCTATTGTATTGGGGAAGTACCCGTGTAATTGTGCAGCCACAATTGGAATAAATTTAAATGAAGATTAATGTCAGACTTTATTGACATACCCAAAATGTCATTACAACAGTCATAGGGTGGTCTAGGAGCTCTGTTTGTCCCTGTTATCCACAGTTTTCCCCATGTCACCCCTTAATTGATGTTTTTTTTAGTGGATCTTTTTTGTCTATATAAGTGGATCTTAGTATCTAGTAAATTGCTCTTGCACATATTAATATTAAAGTGTGATGGAATTTCATTTCTTCCTTTTAATAACATTCCATATGAATTCTACAAGTTCACAAAGTACTTCCTAATAAACTCTGATTATGCATTGTGCAAAGAATTTACTGTTGCTTGTGGATTTTTAATAAGTAATTTTGAACATTGTGTAGTTCTGTGAAAACACAGAACTGTGCATGTAAAAATCACAAACTCCTCTGAAGCACAGACAACCAAGCAAATTAATATTCAGTTCAAACACAGGCTGACAAATGCAGTGTACATACCCTATACAATGTATAACTCACAGGTTGAGCCATTTTCCAATTTCCAAAAAAAAGAAAAAGAATCTTTTTGCTGAATATGGCCTTTTTTTTAGTTATTTTTAGTTTAGTTTATAAATCATTTATGATAATGATCCTATAATGAGACACTAAACAAACCATCATGAATGTAAACAAAAAAAAATGTGCCCAAAGTTGATATTCTGTGCTCTATGAATGTAACTACAATTTTGCTATTATTACACATAAAATTGTATGCTGATTATTTATTTTACTGATACATGAAAAAGAACATACTGACTACCCAGATCCAAAAAGACTGATATCTGGCATGTATTTGAAGTATTTGTATTTTCTGTTGTTTCATTTTACTTCATTTTTTTCTCTTTAATGACATTTTCAATCTCCTTGAGCAGTTTCTCTTTGTTGTTTTTGATGTTTAATCCAGCTTTGTCCAGAAGATCTGTGATCTCACTGTGACTGTAGTCCATTCGAAAGGTGTGATATCTTTTCATCCACTCCAGAACTTCTCCTGAGGAAACAGACATTTACTGTTTAGAGCACTGCTGCATTTCTGCTACTTCACAATACACAGAGTAAAGTAAACATCATCATCAGTCATTACAGTGAAACCAGTTACATACAAGAATGTATGTTTTCATTATGCTGGAGTTACCTTTGCAGTTCACTGCATTGAAAAGAGGGATGTGAATCACAGTTGGAGCTTTGCTGTATCCTCTAAACACATAGAAGTCCTGTGGTTCTTTACCTTCAGGAGGTATAGCAACTTCAGGGAAAGGAATCTTAAGCTCTTTGCATAGTTCAGCAGTCTGAACCACCGTCTGCAAAAAAAAGGCAATTCTCTATTGAATATTAACTCCACCCCTGTAAATACACTCTCATGCAATGATGTGAAAGCAAGAGCATGATGTTTTTACAGGTCAACCCAGGTAAACATGTATTAAAACAAGTGATTGACTTGTTTACTTTAAAAGGTTTAAATGGCAGAAGTTGATGTGAAGTGTTGTTTAGTATTGAATTGATATAAAATATTCATTTTCTTCACCTAAACTAAATTTTGCTTTGAATTGACAATGCAAGCTGTGTTAGTCTTAGGTTATAGAAGCGTGTAGTAACACTTTGGACCCATTGGAGGGTGCTGGCCATTTAAGGGTTTGATATGAAGAGCAGCTGAAAAGATAGTAACTGTGGGTATCATGACAAATTAAACCTCTATATCTGTCTGTATGGTAAATACATATTTCAAATACAACATTTTAGTTTGTGATATGCATTTGATGCTTTTGGCAAAATATACTGTTTCTCATCAAAATACTGTTTTCGATTTATTTTGTAAAACACTCTTAAAAAGACTTTTTTCAAGGGTTCTTTAGTAAAGAAAATGGTTCTATATAGAACCATGAACACTCAAAGAACCCTTTGGATGATTAAAGGCTTCTTTGCGTCGTGAAAGGGTTGTTCAGACTGCAAATTGCAGTGCTGTAGATGGTTTCTGAGAAGGGTTCTATACAGCACCAAAAAGGGTTCTGCTATTGCTACGATGTCAAGCCTGTAACAATAGAAGAACCCTTTTTGCTGCTAAATAGAATCCTTCTCAAAAAGGTTCTATATACAACCATCTACACACATTCTCCATCAATCTGAAGAACTATTCCATAATGCAAAGACCCCGTAAATCATGTAAAGGGTTCATTAAGTGTTCATGGTTCTATGTAAAACATTTTCTTTACTAAAGAACCCTTGAATAACCATCTTTCTTCAGTGTGTACATGGCAAATCACTCTTTCTCCGACCGCCCCCCCAATTTTTTTTTTTTTGATTGAGCCTCTGCAGGCTCAGACTGCCCATCGGTAGAATTGGGAGATTGTCCAATTGAGAAGATCTCCCTTAATGATTTTCAGACTAACCGATTTCATTACATTACTGAGTACTTAGGAACAGTGTGTCATACATACAAAAGTACTGTTACATTTAAAGGATTAAAGGTATCTCTTTAACTTAATGTGTCAAAGTATTCAAAATATCATTTGATCTTTATTGCAATAGATCTTTATTTACACTGTGATGTTTTAATGGCTGAGCTGATTATGGTGCTGTCATACTTCATGGATGGGTATCATACTAAATAGCCTAGTTAGTATCACATGATCTACATTTTAATCTGGAATCATTTCTTATTTTAAACAAACAATAACAGACATCTTAGCAAACGATACGTGAAGTTATTTATCTGGGCACTAAATATTTATTTGTTTCAGAAACACTAACATTAGAATAAGTACAATTAACCAATAAAAATTTGACGTGTGTAAGCTATACCATTTTTTTTATATATATATACAGTATTTCATTAAACTTATTCAGGTGCTACAGTGAGAAGAGCCTTTGTTTTTCTGACTGTATTCATATAACCCAGATAATAAATAACTTCACTGCCTAACAACACATTATTTTTACTTGCTTGTTGATGGGCATTGATGGTAAAATACACTAAAACACTTGCATACGTGCTCACTACTTGCACATACACACACAGGCTATTTGCACACACCTATGAAACACACACACATACACACAGCTTGTATTTACACATGCACACACATACTCATACATACTAATCAGCTAAATGTTGTTACTCACCCTCTGATAAGGTGATTTAGGCCATCGAAATATTTTAGCTGTAGTTTCCTGTAGAGCGCTACCAATAATTATGCACTAGGGGGCAGTCATGGGCTGGAGGTTAGGGAACCATCCCTGTGACCGGAAGGTTGCCGGTTTGATCTCCTGAGCCGACGGTACGTGACTGAAGTGCCCTTGAGCAAGGCACCTAACCCCCAACTGCTCCCCAGGTGCTGTGGATAGGGCTGCCCAGTGCAATGGTCAAGTGTGCTCACTGCCCCCTAGTGTGTGTGTTCACTAGTGTGTATGTGGTGTTTCACTGCATGCATGAGTAGGACTTTGGTGTGCTTGGCCTTTAAAGTGTTGTAAAAAGAGATTCAGATGCTGATATAACTACAGTTCTGATGGAAAGAGTGGTTCTTATATGGTGCTCCAAATCAGTGAAATGTTTGAAGGCTGTGAATGTAATATTTACTCCCTCTTGAGATTAATTTTTATTATTGTAATCTAAAGTTCAAGGAGCTAATGGCCAGCAGGACTGTCATGGCAAAAATGATGCATATGCATATTATTAATTCACTATTACCTACTGAGTAATTAATCAGTACACTTTGGCATGCCTGGAATGGTGGAGAGGTGTCCGGAGTGGCCAAGGCCCCCCTGAAAACTGGTTGGCCACCCCAGATGCCACCCCAAAATTTGTGCCTAGTCCCTGGCTTCCACCTCTCTGTGGGGTGGGTGTTTATGCCTTAAAGAGGAAAGTTGTTTGCTGCCAACAGAACAATGCTCCACCCCCATGCTTGCATTGCCCCTGCAGCGCCCCTGCAATGCCCTCACCTCGTACATTGTCATTGTGAGCACATCTATCAGCAAAACAACTGTCCAATACTCCACCCACTGAAGTGCTTGTAGTTACTGAATAATAAGCCTTCGCATGTAAAAAGACTGGGATTTTAAGAGGTTAACGCATACCTCACTACAAAGCTGAGATTTCATCTCTGCTGTCCTTGATTTTGCTCTGATCAGTGTTCTAAAATCATGCAGATCCTCTTGCTAGTCAGCTCTGTAAATGTATTTAGTAAGCATGTTGGATACAGATCAGTGGAAATCAAGGAAAGCAGGTAAGAAATTTTTATTCCTTAAACTATTCTGAACCAGCATTGACCGACCAACCCTGCCACAATGGTCAATCACCTATACATCACTGTGTTGTGGCATCACATTTGCAAGCTCTATTTGACTAAAAAAAGCCATGCTTTCACCGTGTGTGTGTGTTTGTGTGTGTGTATGTAGTAAGTACCTCAAATGGCTTCAATCCATTGCAGTCAACGGAAATGATGAGGTCGATGTCGCGTTCTTGTCTCAGCACTGAGAAATAGGGTGAGTTGAGTAACGCTCCAGCATCTTCATATTCTCTCGTCTTTGAGTCAAGGACACTGGGGTCGACATCTTCCACTGATGACACAGTCAAATAATAATACTTTATAAGGATATTAAAGCTCTCCTATGGCTTCATTTAATCATTCTTTTAGTATACTGATTGTTATGTTTTCCACTCCTCTTTTCTTGACTTTGCTCTATCTGGAATGAAAGTATCTTGCTTAATGTTTAAGTTAGGGAACTGGCAAAACTTTCAGCTTGTGTGTTTTCAGGTAGTCCACTGTGGATTTTAAAGTGTGTTTAGGATCATTATCCTGTTGTAGAAGCCATCCTCTTTCCTTCTTCAGCTTTCTTACAGATGATGTGATGTTTGTGTCGGGGCTAAGAGCCTCTCTTCTGTGCCCAAGGCCCCTTGACAGAAGATGGATTCTTCTAGCATGTTCTAATGCTATTATCTTAAGAGCTAACTGCAATATAACTTCTTCTTACAAAATAAGAAAAATGTCTAAGTGTAAAAGAGCAAAGTAAAATAAGAGACTTCAGTCGCTGAGTTCTTGTAGAAGAAAGGAAACGGCCTTCTTCTTTATTGAGCTTGAATGGCAAGATGGTTCCTGGACAACCACAAGGCAAAGATCATTCGCAAAACACCCATTTTTATATCCTGTTTGGGGTGATAAAGTAATCACCCCTCCCTTTCTATAAAATTCTATACCATCTTAGTTCCCATCATTTCCAAACCTTACACTTTTCCTTGGGAACCCTTATTTCCAAACATATATGTTTTTTAAAAATATCTTATCTTAGCTGTACCAGGATGTTCCACTCTCCAAGGGCATTAGCTTTTGACTGGTCACATTGTAAATTCACTTACTCCAGAGACTAGTTCTTATCATCTCAAGGACAGCTCTTTCTTTTCACACAGCAGATTCTCACAAGCTTCTAGAGGCCTCTTTGTTAAAAAGAGTTCCCAGGCAAGCTAAGGCCTATCTTACAGTGTGAAGATTACTATTCTTTTGGTTAATAAACACTACTTGTTAGAACTATCAAAGATAAAGATTATGTACACACACACACACAGATTTTAATAGCAGCAGTATTATATATATATACATACATCATCTAAACTGCTTATCCTTCTGGGTCGCTGGAGCCTATCCCAGCTGTCATTGGGCAGAAGGCAGGATACAGCCTGGACAGGTCGCCAGTCCATCGCAGGGCAGACAGACAGACACACACACACACACACACACACACTCCTAGGGGCAATTTAGCGTGTCCAATCAGCCTGACTGCATGTTTTTGGACTGTGGAAGGAAACCAGAGTACCTGGAGGAAACCCACGCAGAAACGACCCTAGTCACCCAGCCAGGAATCGAACCCAGGCCATTCTTGCTGTGAGGTGACAGCGCTACCCACTGCGCCACCGTGCCACTATCAAGATCTGTCATTTTGCAGATCATATATGCAGGTCTATCATAAATCATTATTAACATTTAATGGCATCTGGACCAAAAACACTGTTTCCATGTGGGCAGGAGGCCAAAAATCATGTTTTCAAAAAATATGTGTATCCACATGGAGATGCAGGTCTATGTGCATTAGTGCTCTACCAAAACAGCTCACTGAAAAGCAGACAATGACAAGTTGGTTTTAAGTTTTAACTACAGCTGTGCTGCAGTTTACTCACCATGCTTTTGTCATTTTCTGCCTCACATTGCACTAGGTGAGCTTAGTTTTACACCCCTCTAAGAGGAAATCAGCTTTTTACATAATGTTGAACTGAAGTGTTCGCATATTTTTGGACTTGTAAGTCATGCATAACCCTACACTGTAGTTAAAATAGTTAATATCTCACCTTTCATCTTGTAGAGGTAGTCGTAAGTTGTTCCCCAGATCCAGTGCACCATTTTCTCTATGGCTTTCACGATGGCAATCCAAATTTCTGACAAAATAAGATTTAATAAAACAAAATAAGGTTGACACCAGATTTCTAATATATACTGACTTTAGATTTTTATAGTGAATTCCTGACTGAAAACATGTAGAACTGTTAATGTGTTATCAAATCACATTTATTTTATAATATTTCTAAATATAGCTTATTAACAGCAGTTGATTACAGTGGTTGCACTCCTGTGTTTCTAGTATACAGCTCTAATGTGCTCTAATGTGCACCCACAGCTTTCTTGAAGTTTGGTTTTGTTATAATACATAAATAAAAACACAGAACCGTAAAATCCAGACCTAAATCTGGGTCTAGTCAAAATGCATGAATGTTTATGTGCACTGTTAATATTAAGTGCTGTTCAAAAAATGATCATTGCACTACATTAACAATCATGTACCAAATATGACATCACAGCAGTTACATGCACTCATGCCAGTTTTTAATACTACAAAGCTAACGCTAACTGGATGTCTTTCTTATTAAAGCATTACAGGATAACACTAGTTCACTGAAACACCATTATGGTTGGAATAACAAAATATACAAATAAAATGCATTTAGTGTATCTTAAATCAATCTGATGTCTAAGTCTTAGTTTGTATTTTAGTATTATTAAGTTATTCAGCAGTAGAGTCAATGTGTTTTAAAAATGCAGCAGTAGACAGATTTTACTCACTGTCCAAAAAACCCTGCACCTTAAACATGTCACTGATAGAACTGCATAGATGCAGGGTGTAATCCTTTAACTCTGCCTCTGGGATTTTCCCTTCTGATGTCATCAGCCTCTCTAGATGAAGAGTCATCTGTTCTGCTTCATCATGTTTATCTAAGTAGAGAAATGTTTTTCAGTAAACACACACAGATATACAGTAAACTACAGAATTATTGGCACCCCTCAAGAAACTCGGCAAAAACAATCATAAAATCAATAATACATATAATGCTTCAATTGTTCCTCAAAAAATTGTTATCTAAAATACCATTTATCTATAAAAATCAGAGTTATTTTATTACAAGAATACTACAGTCATTTTTTGTAAAGACTCATTTAAATATAACCAAATACATTTGCATCTTAAAATAAAAATAAATCTTTAAAATAAAATAAATCTTTAAAATAAAATAAAATAAAATAAATCTTTAAAATAAAATAAAATCTTTCTTTTTATTGCTCCTAGTTTCCAGGACCATTTCCAATTTCCTTGCATATAAATATAAGGTTACACCCTTTTAAAATGCTTTCATCAACCATCAACATGGGTAAAACCAGAGGGCTGTCAACTTAAATGATACTCAAAATGGAGGTTGAAAAACTGCACAGATTAGTAAATACTCATAAAAAAGTAGTCAGTTTAAATTACAATCAAGCAGATCCAGTGTGATGATAAAAAAAGCTTCAAAGCATGGAACAGTTGACATGTCAGGAAGAGGACGCATGATCATACTGCCCCCACGTACAGTGAGCTGGATAGTAAGAGAGGCTAAGAGGAACCCAAAGATCACAGTTTCAGAACTGCACAGTTTAGGTGAATCTAGAGGTTTTCAAATTTTCACAGTCAGATGCCGCCTACATGACCAACATGAGTTCCACAAAGGAAGCCTTTCCTGAAAGCAAGGTGCAAAGTACAGCCTGACCTTCACAAAATGTCATTGCAACTACAAATGGAATGGTGTGATGTGGTCAGATGAGACAAATACTGAACTGTTTGGTCATGCACACCATTGTCATGCTTGGTACTGCAGGGACTGCATACGATTAAAAGCACCAGATATCAACTCTCAAATTTGGAGGTGGATCATTGATGCTTTGGAGCTGTTTTGCAGCCGGTGGTTCAGGGACTTTTGTGAAAATCAGTGGCATAATGAATTTTACTAAATACTAGCAGAGTTTAGCCCCAAAATCTGGTGGTCCAGGATCTCTGAACAAGTGTTCAACAACCTTGTTAAGCACTACAAAAAGCTTCTAACTTAACATACATAACATAATAACTATGTTTTCAAAAAAGAAAAAAAATATTGTGTTACTAAAGACCAAAGTATGACACACACACACACACACACACACACACACACACACACACACATATTTATATATATATATATAGTCTTTTTAATGTTGGGGTAGTTGAGCTGTATGGGATATTATGGGAATACTACCTTTCAGTAGGTTCTTCATGGTTTGGAGGTAAATTTTAGGATCCTCCTTTTTTAACATGCAAAGGTTCAGATCCACAAGTGTTAACAGCACCTCACAACCATTCTGCACATCTGGTGTTTGTGATGTTTGACTTTCTTCTGTGCTTCCTATTTTGTCTAGTTAGGGTAGTTAGGGGGAAAAAAAAAGTTTTTGTTACAAACAAAAGGAATAAATCAGAAGATTTACAGAAGAACAGTGAGAGGTTCATACTTTTAATCAGGTGTTTTAGGGCCTCATAGAGTAACTTAAGGATCTCTTCCATATCTGCGAAGGCACTGCCACACAGACCTGTAGAAATTCCAAACAAATAAGTAACAGTCAGCAAGATTACAGCATTGAAAAAACTTGTTGTAAATGGATTTATGTGTGTTCTTGAACATTCATCACCACTGATATATTATAATATCATTAATAATGTTTTAGGCTCTACATTGTTTAATAATCTTTTTTTATGCTTATGTCCTGAAAAAAATCTTAACCTGGTCTCGATTTTGTCTCAGTCTTGGCCTTGGGCTTGACTCAGACTCAAGTACTAACAGTCTTGTTCCTGATTTGGACACAATGTGTCTCAGTGTCTGTCTTGACTTGGACTGAGCTCTAGTGGTCTTGACTACAGCACTGTTTTTAAGTATGTAAAAGTGCTTTGGCGTGAACCTTTAGTGTTGGTATATTCATACTTGTTACCTCAATGACTGTCAATGACAAAGTGGGAATAAGTAACCCGAGCATGTCAATAACTCTCTCTTTTAGATGAATGTTGATTTTGATGTTTTGTCCGTTTGTATTGATTGGTGCAGTCATACACATGTACATGGCATAAAACGTGTCAACATTTCCATCATATTATTTTTGACGCTTTTCAACTCCAAATGGCTTTGTAACAGCGCCTCATGTACATTCAAACATTTTAAACAAGTGTTCTAGATATGTGATGCCTTTATCCTTCCATTTTTTAAATGACTGGTGACCAATGAATTCTAATAAACCATTTTGTTTTTAACATGTTGTGTGTTACCTTGTAGGTACAGCATGTCAGTCTCAGGCTGGTCTTTAATCTTCTGTCCATTCTCAAACTGACTTCTTAAACAGGAGGAATCCACAAAGGCTCCAGAGAGAGAATAACCTGACTCATCTGGAGTGATCTCAAACCAGACATCTGCAAACAGAAAGTACTGTAAGTTTTCCATTTTACCATACACACACACACACACACACACACACACACACACACACACACACACACACACACAAACACACGACAAATTACCTGCATTCAGTCTGTCATATTTGCACTGTTTGTCAATGACAGTGTAAATGGGATACGGGTCATTGGTGTAGTTGCCCCTCTGCTCTGAGATTCTGTGTTCATCAATCTGTGAAAAATACAGAGAATATAGACTGTTACAGTGGGGTCCTAAAATCTGAGACAACTAGTGAAGATGCATAGATTTTTGCATTCTTTTCTATTTAATTACAAATTACAATTTCAATAATCAGCACAACAATTTGAATGAAAAATAGAATTTTTGAGATTTTAACATGAATTTCAGAATTTTTAAGTATTTAGCATTTAGCCCTCTGTTGCTTTAATGACAGCACGTACTCAAGCTGGCATGAACTCCACAAGTTTGTGCAAAAGTCTGATGAGAAGATCAAATCAAGAGTCGTCTGAAGAAGTGGGGGCAAGACCTTAACATAAAGAAGGCCTTAACATAGTCAATGTCAAGGTAGGTTCAAATTGAAAAGTGTCCTACAATTAGTGAATAATAATTTTGCTTCATTTTGCCTCATTTAACTTTAATTGCAGTTAATTTTGTTTTATTCTAAAACTTTCTTTTGGAAAATTACCGTATTTTCAATGTGTTCCCAGGCATCCCAGACCGCTATATATTTGTGTATTAATGTACATTTTCTAACATACCTTAGTACTAAAATATACTTAGATTTATACTGCTGACAGGAGGCCTTCACAGAATTTTGGTTAGGGCCCCAGGGAGGTCAGAACAGCTCTGGGTTTATGCCAGAAGTGAAAAATGGAATTCTTTATATTAGTTGAACCAGTGTTTGTGTGGATTTGTTAGAAAGTATGACTAGTTATGATTTATTCTTACCTCTTTCACCATGTGAGACACAATCAGTGCTGCCCACACATCTGTCAGGCTGAAATTGTCTTTTTCTGAATAGTATTTTGCTAGTTTTAGACCCATCTGTGACCAATTGACACTGCCTTCAGCAAGCCTTTGGACAATGTTTTCTTTCACAGTCTTCAGTTTGGTGGACCAGTCTAGTTCTTTATATAATGATGCCATGCACCTTCAGAGAACAGATGGGAAAAAAAATTGTTTTGTGTTATTAATATACAACATTACTAAAAGTGTATGCTCCACATATAAAAAAAAAGTTGTAGTCTCCACAAGTGAGGGGTGAGAGCAAAAATTGCATATCAACACGGACTAAAAAATGAAGATTTCTTTTCAAAGAACATCACAGTTATGGAGGATAAATTGTGAAAGGCATTAATAACATTGAGTTTTATCAGCTTTTGTCCATGAATTTATGTTATGTTCCATGTTCATGTGCGTTCATGTGCCAACAAGTCATGTGAAAAGCTGTTATATTTTACAGTTGTGCTTGTGTTTGAGATTAAGTGATTTATTACTTTTATTACTAGTACAAATAACATAGAAAAATTGTAGAATATAATTAGTTTTAGGTTGTAGAAATGATATCATGACACATTAAACATATCCTGATTTTTCTCCTCTCTCTTCTTCTTGATGAACTTAATGCAAATGAGTTGAGTGACGTCCAACCAGATTGTCGATGTGTGGTGTGGTAGCCAGTTGTGTTACATCTACGGCCACACAATCAAAAGCGCACCAAATGCAAGAATATATTGAAAGCACAGGACAACGTTAAGTTTTCTCATAGTTAAAAAACAAAAAAAAAAAAACAGAAAATAAATTAGGCTGCTTTTGAGCTCAGAAACTGCCTACAGCTGTGTTCACACTTCCGCACACAACTTGCGTGCGTTTTAGTGAAGTGCCCCCAAAGCAGCCAGCAGAGGGTGACAAAAGCAATTTGGCTCACTGTAATGAAAATACATTGTCAAAGTAAACTGTGAACAGCTACTGCTGGTTTTTAAAATTAATGAATAAAATGCCAAAATACCAATTCCACTCAAAAACAAGCAGATATGGGTGCTTTCCAATTAGTTTCAAGTTCAGACCTTTTTAAAATTATTTTTAGAAGTTGCAGTTAACCAACCCTGAAATCTGAGATTGCTGCTGCACCATCAGCACCCCCACTTCCCACAACTCTCTATGAAAACGCAATAAATATAAAGAGTTCAACTGTTTCAGTGGCCAACTTTACACAATGAATAAAGCAGATCTTTATCACTCAGAGAGCCCAGTAAAGTAATGCTTTAGATAAATCGTCTTCATAGAGATTTATGTAATACTCATCAACTACATCAAACTCCTGTGTAGATAGCAAAGCTAAAAACATAAGGCTGAAGTTGGTTTCTTATTCAAGAGGTGATATTTGCCTCATTACAGCTCATTACAAAGAAAAAGCACACTCTCGAATGCTCACACGCACCAAATCTGTATGAACCAAATGACAAATCTTTAAAATCGTATAAATTTGTAATTCGGCTGGACAAAAGAGACAATGCTATAAAAAGCAATATTTGTTGAGTATTTGGATAGCATGACTAGATGGAAAGTCTCTCTGAATAAGTGAAGTATAATGATTTGCCCTCATAATTTGCCAAGTTGAATAAACCAATGCTTTGGTGGGGGAGAGGTGGGGCAGTATTTTAGCCCTCTCTTGATGTGTATATCTTTAGCTGGGTTCCTGAAAAAGAACACAACCACCCTGAGATAAACTGGCCAATAGCATGGTATCCATTGTATATATCTTGTAAAATTGTTGTTTTAGCGATGAAAAGGATCACACTCAATGTGCTACACTTACATGATCAAGTATTTTGATATCCTTTCAAGCAGCATTAGCATAAAGCCATACTTTCATACATTATACATGTTTAACAAAGTCAGGTAATACCCTTAATAAACAGCATACCTGGCTACAAAGTGAAGTTATGACAATGCTTGGTAACCACATAACTTTCCAGGAAAGTTTACAGGTCAGTCACTGCATGTCTCTTGAAGATGTGTGTTGCTTTGTGTTTGAAGGACATTCTGAATGAAGGTATTTATCACCTGCAATTCCTTTAACTGAAATCCCAGGCTTAAGTTTGTAGGGAATATAATGGTACTCTGTGGAATCAAGTCTGGCTAATTAACTAGCCAGCTACCCAGCCGTCACTCTAGCTCTCAATGAAGCCACAGCATCTTGGACATGTTAATGCTCATGTATTTTAAAGGGTTTAAAAATTACTCATAATTGTTCTAGAACAATCCACTTACTGTAAGTGTGATTGTAGCCTTATTTGTTTTCTTTAACATAGACAAATGTGAACGGTCATGCTTTACTTTCTGTCCAGTCTTTTAGTATAGCAAACAGTGACTGTAGTGGACTGGTCTAGACAAAAGTCCAAGGCTAAATCATGGCAGTCACTGATCAGCTGTAAGTCTGATCACACTTTTATGATCAGCTACTGAGCAAACCTTTCATCAACCACCCCTTGTAAAGCACATAAACCACATCATAAAGCCTAATTAATTTGTTTTTAAAGATAGAATTATTTTTGTGTAAATATATGGATTAAATAAATAATTGAAATATCTGATATGTTCTGTATCACTACCAGGTAGATCCTGAAACTCCACACAGGTACATGATGCAGTCCAGCAGTTTATCTTCTTTCAGCTGACTTAGTGATCCCAGTAGTGCAATCATCGCTCTCAAACCACCACCAGAGCCCAGCACTGCGATGTTAGGTAACTCATCCTGTTTCATTGAAACACAAATCCTAAACACTTGAAACAAGCAACAACTGTGCTTCTATTGTATAACTAAAATGTGATGTAGGCTGAAAAGTGTTGCGATAATAATGTAGTTGTTTATACTTCATCTGGTCCTGAGTAAACACTCAAATATGTAATTATCTACAACACTGTTTCCCAAAAAGCTGAGATCTTGAGCAAAACGTAAATAAAAAAGAGAATGCAATGAAGTGCAAATAATTCAAACCCTGTATTTAGTTGAAAATAGTACGAAAACATAACATTAAAACTGAGAAATTTTATTGTTTTTTGAAAAAAATATGCCATTTTGAATTTGATGCCAGCAGCACATTTCAAAAAAAGCTGTTTTCACTGTGTTGCATCACTTTTCCTTTAACAACACTCTGTAAACATTTAGAAATTTAGAAGGCCAATTATTTTACTTTAGAAAATGAGATGTTTTCTCATTCTTCTTGATATCGGATTTCAGTTGCTCAACATTTTGGAGTCTGCACATGTTGCTCCAAACCTGCTTATATCATCCAGCATTAATGGTGCCATCACAGATGTGCAAGTCACCCATGCCATGTGCCCTAATGCACCCCCCATACTAACACAGACGGTGGCTTTTGAAATGTGCGCTGAAAACAAGGTGGATGATCCCTCTTAAATCCAGAGCGCCCACTTTTCCATCTATCTTTAATGACTTTTGGCTCAGAGAAGGCGGCAGCGTTTCTGGATTTTGTTTATATATGGTTTCTTTTTTGCATGGTAGAGTTCTAACTTGCATTTTTAGATAGATCATTTTCGGAAGTGCTCCTGATTCCATGCGGTGATTTCCACTAAAGAATTGTGTCTGTTTTTAAGGCAGTGCCACCTGAGGGCCTGAAGGTCATGGCCATCCAATATTTTTTTTTTGGCTTATCCCTTGCATACAGATATTTCTCCATATTCTCTGAATCTTTTAATGATATTGTGTATTGTAGATGATGAAATCCCCAAGTTCTTTGCTGTTTTACATTGAAATGTGTTGTTGGCATCAGATTCAAAAAGGGCATATATTTTTCAAAAAACAATAACATTTCTCAGTTTTAACATTCAATATGTTGTCTTTGAACTGTTTGCAATTAAATATAAAGTATGAATGATTTGCACATCATTGAATTCATTTTTTTTTACATTTTGCACAGCAACTTTTTTGGAAACAGGGTTGTATAACAATAACAACAACATCATAGTATTTTACAGAATAGTTAATTGTAGCATGGTGTTTCAGATTTACTACATGTTTGTGGTGGGCCTAATGCATTTTGTGCACACAAAAGCACAGAAGCCTTTTTGCTTGTCCATAGGTAGTCACCTATGTTTTAGTGCACCTAACATAACGGATATACACTTTAAGGGAGGACATTATGCAAATGAACATCCATGATTTGCTAACATGAACTGATGGGAAAAATTGCATGTTTTGTAAAACTAAATAGAAGGACGCACAATTGAAAATTGCCGCCACACTAAAGACATAAGTGAACTCATATGAAACTATAGTCACAAAGTGTGTTATCTGGACAATATCATCTCATATCATCATATTAAATTTTAGAACTCATCAAAAAGAGCACTATTAATTTTGAGATGACAGGGGAGGGGCTCAAGCCCTCCTCCCACCTCTTGTGCATGCCAGTGGTCACCGCAGTTTGAGAGTGCCATCATTTAAATGTCAGGTCAAAGTAACTCAATCACAAATTTGAGCAAGCTGTGCTTTTGTTTATACACACTGTAGAATTTGCTTGTTTCTTAATAAAGAAATCTGGTCCTAAAGGTTACATATTGCAGAATATGATTCACCTCACTGCAGTATATACCATTCTGCTTCAGGCAGTGGAGAACGGTCTTTATCCTTCTGGCCAAATGCTGCCTCTCTGCTTCATTTAGAGAGTGACCAATTCTCACCTCACTGCTACACACATCACACAAGAATGGTTTTAGTGGAAAAGTGTGTAGCAAAAGTAATAAATAGGTAATGCTTTTTTAAGGGAAAAAATACCCTTTACAACTTCTGTCCTGGTCCATCTCTGGAAGAAATGAGGAGAAAAGACAAAATGTTACAAAGTCGCATTTTGTAAAAACAGTTCTTTAAAGTCACTGTTTAATCAATGCTACCATAAAATGGAATAATTCTACAAAACTAGAAATTTGTATTGTATATAGAATCCCTTAAAATCACAGGCTAATTACATACTGAGAAGTAACTACTGCAAACTAGTTAAGCTATTCTTAGGTCATAGAAGTGTTTAATAAAATTTTGGGCCCAGTGATGAGCCCTGACCATTTAAGAGGTTAAGTAGTGACATACCTACTCAAAGCATTCTTGTCTGGAGAATGATTATGAAAAAAATTTTTTAGGGACTCTGACTTAGATAGGATAACTTCTTCAACTTCAACTATGTGTTTTTTTCATCAGCTATTTTCCCATCCTTTAAAAAAATGGCTATTACTTTGAAAAGTCAGAAACTGGTCTGGTTTATCTGTTGAATTGAAAGTATTTCTGAAAAAAAAAAAACTATGATAGTCTTATTTATTGATTTGCAAAGAATGTAATAAACTATAAAGGAACTTCTGACCACGTGTCTTCAGAATTTTTGAAGAAAATTAAATAATCTGGTTCCTGAGCAGATATAGCACCAAATCAATCATTGATAAGCAAAGTTAATTATTTAATAGACCAAGCTTTCTCCAGACTTGCTCCACACCTCTGGAACTCTCTCCCTTCACTTTACAGTAACTCGTCACATCCTCCTCTGTGTTGTGATTTATGTATTTGTCATCTGTGAGTGTCTTTGGGTCTTTGAAAAGGGCTAAATAAGGAATATATAAGGAAGATAGAGTTTGTTAGTTTTTTGTTATGTTTATTTTAGCTTTCATAACTACATATGTACATATGATACAAGATGAAAGCAAGTGATTCAAGTGCTTCAATTAAACTGACTGTCTATGCAGTGTGAAGAGTACTTTACTAGTCATTCTTAACCAGCTGAGTGGCAGATGACTGCTGCCAGCATAAAACAGATTAATGAAAAGTACATACCTGCACTTGTAGATGCTGAAGTCCTTAAGCAAACATTAAACTATGATGGCTTTCAAGAGACTGTGAATTTATAGCGAGTGTGCATGTGGGAACATGATGTAGGGAGAAATATTTGACAGTGGACTGGGGCAAAATTTCACAATAACAGTGGAACAGGTTTTGTGGTTTTCTTTTGAAATTAAAAATAGATCACTATTTAATTTGCATTTAGTGCAAACTAATCATCCATTTACTATTTTTCTTTCCTTATATAGCCAGTTAACCCTTTAGGGCCAAAGCAAAAGAAGTGGCTATTTTAACCATTTAATCTATTCTTCTCTTATAATAATATTTCTCAGCACTGTTGCATTTAATTGATATGTATAGAACTTAACCAACCCTCTTAAAAAAGATGTTTCTTCAAGGCTTCTTTAGTAAATGCTTCTAGATATAACTATGAACACTCAAAGGACCTTTTGCATGATTAAAGGGTTCTTTGCCTTCTGAAAAGGGTTCTTCAGATTGATCGAGAATGTGCTGTAGATGGGTCTATATAGACCCAATTTGAAAATGGTTCTGTACAGCTCCCAAAAGGATTCTTTTATTGCTGTGATGTCAAGCTTGTTATAGTAGAAGAACCCTTTTGGGATCAAAAACGTTCTATATAGAACCATCTACAGCATATTCTCTATCAATCTAAGGAACATTTTCAAGATGCGAAAAACCCTTTAGTCATGCAGAGGGTTCATTGTGTGCTCATGGTTCCATGTAGAACCATTTTCTAAACTAAAGAACCCTTGAAGAACCATCTTTGTTAAGAATGGACCAACTCATTAAATTCCCAATTTTTTCTGTAGTTTGTTTTAAATTACAATTTAAACCAGAAAATACATCAGTATGAATGTCACACAGATCAGCTGTTTTATTTCACCTAAATAAATTACTATAAATCTATAGAATGAGCCCTCAACCAGATGTGCTACTGATTGCTTTGAAAGATCAAGGTCCTGTTTATCTGTTAAATTCTAAAATGATTTTTAAACAAACATTTGTGACAGACTTATTTATTGTGTTGTAAAGAACATGATAAACTATAAAGGAACTTCTGACCACTTGTCTTCAGAATTTTTACGGAAAACTAAATAATCTGGTTCCTGAGCAGATATAGCACCAAATCAATCATAGATAAGCAAACAAAATAATGTAATAGACCGAGCTTTCTCCAGACTTGCTCCACACCTCTGGAACTCTCTCCCTTCACTTTACAGTAACTCATGTCACTTCTTTCTCTGTGCTGTGATTTATGTATTTCTGTCATTTATTTTGTCATCTATATGGTTTGTTTGATGTTGACGTTTCATATAAGTAAGAATTTTATTAGTTTTTCTGAAAATCTGAAGAAATCATGTCTTTTATGGTGTTCCACAGTGTTGTATTCGAGGCCCATGTTCATTCTCACTGTGCATGTTTCTAAATTTCACTTCCATAACTACATATGTACATATGATACAAGATGAAAGCAGATGATTTAAGTGCTTCAGTTAAACTGACTGTCAATGCAGTGTCTAAGTGGACAAATAATATTTTGAACACAATAAAACATGAAAAATGAAATGAAAATTCTTATTATTGATAATGAATCAAATACAATAGAATTTTTAAACAGGCTAGCAAGACTTTATTGCACTTGTTTTATCATATTTACACTGCCTGTTACACTGCCTTTTTGTTATTTGATTTGAAGAGAACTTTACTGGTTGTTCTCAACCAGCTGAGTGGCAGATGACTGCTGCCAGCATAAAATAGATTAATGAAAAGTACATAATTGCACTTGTACATGCTCAAGTCCATTAAACTATGACGGCTTTCCAGAGACTCCGAATTTCTAGGAAGTGTGCATGTGGGGACATGACATAGGGAGAAATATTTGACAGTGGACTGGGGCAAAATTTCACAAAAACAGTAGAACATGTTTTGTGCTTTTCTTTTGAAATCAATAAGAGATGACTGTTTAATTTGCATTTAGTGCAAATCAATCATCCATTTACTATTTATCTTTCCTCTACAAAACCAGTTAACCCTTTAGGGCCAAAGCAAAAAACTATTTTAACCATTTAATCTATTCTTCTCTAATCATAATATTTCTCATCACTGTTGCATTTAATTGATATGTATAGAACTTAACCAACCCTCTTATAAAAGATGTTTCTTCAAGGCTTCTTTAGTAAATGCTTCTAGATATAACTATGAACACTCAAAGGACCTTTTGCATGATTAAAGGGTTCTTTGCCTTCTAAAAAGGGTTCTTCAGATTGATCGAGAATGTGCTGTAGATGGGTCTATATAGACCCAATTTGAAAATGGTTCGGTACAGCTCCCAAAAGGGTTCTTTTATTGCTGTGATGTCAAGCTTGTTATAGTAGAAGAACCCTTTTGGGATCAAAAACGTTCTATATAGAACCATCTACAGCATATTCTCTATCAATCTAAGGAACATTTTCATGATGCAAAAAACCCTTTAGTCATGCAGAGGGTTCATTGCGTGCTCATGGTTCCATGTAGAACCATTTTCTAAACTAAAGAACCCTTGAAGAACCATCTTTGTTAAGAATAGACCAACTCATTAAATTCCCATATTTTTCTGTAGTTTGTTTTAAATTACAATTTGAACCAGAAAAATACATGAGTATGAATGCCACACAGATCAGCTGTTTTATTTCACCTAAATAAATTACTATAAATCTATAGAATGAGCCCTCAACCAGATGTGCTACTGATTGCTTTGAAAGATCAAGGTCCTGTTTATCTGTTAAATTCCAAAATGATTTTTAAACAAACATTTGTGACAGACTTATTTATTGTGTTATAAAGAACGTAATAAACTATCAAGGAACTTCTGACCACTTGTCTTCAGAATTTTTACGGAAAACTAAATAATCTGGTTCCTGAGCAGATATAGCACCAAATCAATCATAGATAAGCAAAGAAAATAATGTAATAGACTGAGCTTTCTCCAGACTTGCTCCACACCTCTGGAACTCTCTCCCTTCACTTTACAGTAACTCATGTCACTTCTTTCTCTGTGCTGTGATTTATGTATTTCTGTCATTTATTTTGTCATCTATATGGTTTGTTTGATGTTGACGTTTCATATAAGTAAGAATTTTGTTAGTTTTTCTGAAAATCTGAAGAAATCATGTCTTTTATGGTGTTCCACAGTGTTGTATTCGAGGCCCATGTTCATTCTCACTGTGCATGTTTCTAAATTTCACTTCCATAACTACATATGTACATATGATACAAGATGAAAGCAGATGATTTAAGTGCTTCAGTTAAACTGACTGTCAATGCAGTGTCTAAGTAAATAATAAATAATAAACAAATAATGTTTTGAACACAATAAAACATGAAAAATGAAATGAAAATTCTTATTATTGATAATGAATCAAATACAATAGAATTTTTAAACAGGCTAGCAAGACTTTATTGCACTTGTTTTATCATATTTACACTGCCTGTTACACTGCCTTTTTGTTATTTGATTTGAAGAGTACTTTACTGGTTGTTCTCAACCAGCTGAGTGGCAGATGACTGCTGCCAGCATAAAATAGATTAATGAAAAGTACATAATTGCACTTGTACATGCTCAAGTCCATTAAACTATGACGGCTTTCTAGAGACTGTGAATTTCTAGGAAGTGTGCATGTGGGGACATGACATAGGGAGAAATATTTGACAGTGGACTGGGGCAAAATTTCACAATAACAGTAGAACATGTTTCGTGCTTTTCTTTGAAATCAATAAGAGATGACTGTTTAATTTGCATTTAGTGCAAATCAATCATCCATTTACTATTTATCTTTCCTCTACAAAACCAGTTAACCCTTTAGGGCCAAAGCAAAAGAAGTGGCTATTTTGGCCATTTAATCTATTCTTCTCTAATAATACTTTGTTTCTCAGCACTGTTGGTGCATTTAATTGATGTATACCTGACCTACACTCTTAAAA